TTGTTCAAGGTGCTAACAGGAGAAACAACCAAGATCAAAAAAAGTGAATCCCTTCTCCAGTGAGGACAAGTCTGTGGGCATGGGCCTGGCTTCCCACAATTTTGGCCCTCCTCTTACTCAAAGGTGGTGTAAGCAGGGTAGTTTTCAGCAAATCTGAGTTCTCTAAAACTGTGAAATCTATAAAACTGCAAAATAGCACATACACTGTACAGAATTTTTATGAGGATGAACCTACAACAGTGCAAGCAGAATGCTGAGCAGTGTACCACAACCCTTAGGGGCACTTGACAAAGGTCACTGACCATGAGGAGGAGGAGGAGGAGGAGGAAGGAGAAGACAGCGCTGGCACTGCAGTGTTCTTGTCATGACCTCAGCTCCAAGCCTAAGGCCCCACTGCAAGGCTGCTCCGACTCCAGCCATTAGTCCTTCTATTATTCCACAAGGGGAAGGAACAGGGTGACTCATATATCTGCACAGTGGAGCTTCAGGCTGGCCTGCGCCAGCTGCAGAAAGGAGGGCCCCAGGTGACGGGAAATAGCAGCCCTCCAGCCCAGCTGCAGGGCCACAGCCTTTCCTAGCTTTCACAGGCATCAAAATTATCAGCATCAGCCAAGAGGCCCAGTGAACAAGGAGCCCAGGCCTCTGGGGAAGATGCCCCCACCAGGGCTCAGGTGAAGAAGTTGTGCCATCTCCTCTCACCCAGGTGAAGGGTGGGCAAGTGCGCCCAACCAAGGCAACACTTCAGCCTGCTCCCTGCCTGTGCCTAGAACTCTGCCTGAGAAGCAGCTGGCCCTGGCTACGGAGCTTGGAGGCAGCAGCAGCAGCACTTCAGACCTAACAAGGGAATACTAAGATTTCAAGTCATTTTCCCAAGTCTCCCTGTGGCTGAGGCCCCTTCAGGGTATTCAGTTGCAGCTTTAGAACAACAAAGGAACAGGATACCAAGTGCAGTGTGTGCCAGGTTCATCAGCACCGCACTGCACAGCACAGAACCACGAATGGCTCATGATTCTAAGAGGAAAAAGTTCAGCATCACAAGTAGGCAAAGAAATGCATATTAAAACAGAATTTATTGATGAACAGACTGGTAAAAATGCAAATATCGAGGAATTGAGTATGGGGAATGAGGCATTCCCACACAATCCCAGTGAGTGTGTAAATTAGGACAATCTTTCTAGAAGGCAATCCAGAAATGCGCTCACCAAACGCCTGCAGGGTTCCTTTGATGGAGTAATTTCACTTCTAGGAATTTAAATGAAGGAACACACACACACACACACACACACACTCATTTCAGCACAGCTTACAATAGCGAAAAACAAACAACTGAGCGACAATGATAGATTGATTAAATACATTTTGTTTCAAGGCTGTATGAGATACTATATAACCAATAAAGCATTAAGTAGAGTATTTATTGATGTGAAAAGATGTTCACAGCATTTTGTTTGGAGGAAAACAAAGAAAGTTACAAAACAGTGTAAGTGAAGTTCACAAATTACACACAAGAGTATACACAGAATAAGTCCATTTAAAAAAAAAGTGATCTATATGGAGAGAAAAACATCTAGAAATACAGAAGAGAACTAATAATGGTTATCTCTGGGTAATATTACATGTTTTAGTTCTTTTTTAATGTTTAGTAGCAGTTTAACAGCTGTTATTTTTAAATAAAGTATAGAACTAGATGGTTTAGAAAGTTGCTGTCATCTCTGACATTTTGGACATCTATGACTGATGCCCCAAGTGACTTCAAAAAGCCCATATTTAGCGTGGGCTTGCTGTGCAGCTTTCTGAGCGGCCGCTTTTGCCCACAGCTGCAGCCCTCTGCATTCCTCTCTCCTCACACTCACTGCCCAGCTGTCATTCCTGCCAGCCTGCAGCTCCTGCTTGGCAAGGTCCAGCTATACCCCCGGCCACAGTCCACATGGCTGGCCAAGAGCTGAGCAAAAGGAACATGGCTAGGCATGCTGACAGGTGTCCTGCAGGCGCAAAGAAATCAAAGGCGCGGCTCTGGCGTCTAGAATCTTAGTGGACACACAACCCACACATAAAGTACTTCATGGACGTACAACAGGCTACAAAAACCAAGAGACAGAGGACAACCCATACCGGAAAGGAAGGAGAAGGGAGGACAAGGGCACTCCGGGCAAGAGGCACAGCCTGAGCAAAGGTGAAGCCAGCCTGAAGTCCTCTGGGATGTAATCTTCAAAACTTTGAGAAACTTTCACAATCCTTGTTCTACTAAATTTCTGAACTTTGGCCCCAGTGGGTAAAAGTTGCCTCCTAAACAGAAGTACTGGCTCTACTCTAGCCCTAGTTTAGCCATAAAAGACAACAAAACTCTAGTGAATGAGGACAATTAATTGCCATTTTATTCACTTTCCCCAATCCTCCAGAGGGGAAAGCTGGAGAGGAGGCTCAGGAAAAGGATGTAGGGAAGAAAGAGGAGGCCACGGGGACACCCAGGTAGTTCACAGCAAACAGTCCTCACCCCCCCCCCCACCAGACCGGTGGACTTTCCCTCGCAGGCGCCACAGCCCCATTTGACAGATGGAGGATGAGGCTCCGGCAGTTCAAAAGGCTTGCTCCGGGGTCACCCAGCCAGAGAGTGGGGAAGGTGACTCCACTCAGGCCTTCTGACTCCAAGTCCAGTGCTATTTCGAGGTAACACACAGGACCTGGAGTCAGGAGCCCTGGGTGGCTCTGTCACCCGCTGGCTGAGTGGTCCTGCAGAAACCACTCACCCCTCGCAGCCTCTTTCCCCAACTGTAAAATGAGGAGGCGCTCGTCGGCCCGCCCAGGTCCTCTTCCGGCCGGGCTCTCTCAGCCTTCTAGGGGTGGCTGCAGAGCTCGTCCTATCAATTACATTTCCCAAGTTGGGCCGGCACAGATCTCCAGAGGAGCCTAGGCCCGTCACGTGGTAAATTAAAAAAAAAAAAAGCAAACGTCCCAGATTAACTTTCACTGCACTGCTCCTGCTGACACCTGATTATCCAATTTTCTAATTTCCTTAGGTGAAATGGCCCTGCATAGGCTTGTTGGTGGCCAGCAGGGCAAATTATTGTTGGTGAGCCAAACGCCGAAGATGAGAGTTAAAACCCAGGCTTGGACCCTGGGCGGACGATTCTTCCTGCGGAGCCCTCTACGGCGTATGGATGTTTCAAGGATCCCTCTCCGCGCGTTGGCTGCAGGCGTGGAGGCGCGCCCAGGGCAGAGCGAGAACCCGGGCAGCAGCGTGCACGCCCGAGCGGCCTCTGTCCCCCAGCCCCACGCCGTGGGCTCCGGGGCCGGCGAGGCTGAGCCGCCTTCGGCGCAGACACCGGCGCGGGGCGTGTGACGAGCCCAGCGCGGGCGGCGGGAGCTCCACCGCAGTTTCGTCAGCGGTAAAGGTGCGCGCCCGGCGCGCGCACACGGACGCACACCCGCGCGCAGCCTGCTCGCCCAGCACCGCCCGCCCGGACGCGCGAGCCCACCCGGGCTCTCCCGCCACCGACCGCACGGCCCCGCGGCGTCCGCAAGGGCTGGGCCGCCTTCGCCCGCACGATGCGGGCTTCCTTTCGGCCACGCCGCCGGGCCGCGCCGTCCCAGCCGTCAGCCCGGAGTCGCCGCCCAGAGTCCTCCGAGAGCCGAACGTCTCTGCAGCTGCGTCCCCTCCAAGTCGCGTCGCACCGCAAGGAGTCAGCTTGCAAGCCTCTCCCCGCCCACCCGGTCCCATGACAGCTGCTACCGCCCAGAGACTGGCAGATTATAACAAGAAGCAAAGTTTCCCTCTCTCTCCTCCCACCTCCAGGCCCCCTCTGCCTTCCCCCTCCCTTCCTGTGTTATGCAAAACGGGCCGGCACCGCGCTCCCACTCCAGGTACCGAGCCAGCCCCCACGAGCCGCGCCCGGTTCCGCCAGCGACCCCTCTCCGCGCCCCGAGGTCCCCTCGCCTCTAGGGTCCCCTCTGGGGTTCTGCCTCATCCCGAACCACTCGGTCACCAGCAGCCTCGCGCCCGCAGAAAAAGCCGTAACTCCGGAGCCAAACTTTATGCTTGCAACAGGCATGGGGTGGGGGAAATGGGGAAAAGGGTTGGGGGCGCGCAACCCTTGTTCAGTCATTTCTGGAAACTGCTTGTCCCAGCAGCGCTGGCCTCCGGATCTCCAAGCCACCAGCTTACCCAAGTCCTCCCCCACTCCGGCAGACCAGAGCACCCTCTCCTGTCACGCGCGTGTCGCCGGTGGGGGTCCCAAGCTCAGCTAGAGCCCGGGACGCCGCCTCGCCTTCCCTTCCCCCTGCATCGTGGAGCGCGCGCCGGGGCCGCGCAACGCAGGGGGCACCCCGGAGCCCCCCAACAGTCTTCCCGCCCCCATCCTGCCCTGCTTTTTCACGGGAGGGGCTCGGTCGGATAGCGAAACCAGGAAGGCGCTATCTCCGCCCGCAGGTCCACGTGCCCCGCGGACCCCAAGTCCTCAGCCGGCAACTGACAGGAAACTCCGCGCTGCGGGAGTCGCTAGGGAGCTGTGGGGTGCCGAGAGCAGCGCGGGGGTGGGGGGGAGCAGAGGCTTTAGAACGAGAGACTCCGGGGGTGAGGGTACGCGCCCGTGCCGGGGCCGTAAGTCCACGTGAAAGTACGGCAGCAAGTGCGGGGCGCTCACGGCGCGTCTACAGCACCCAGCGTCAGCCCGAGGGCCTCCCGCACCTGGTCGCCGCTCAAGCTCCCCGAGGAAGCGCGGTACCCCCCAGCTTGCCCGCAGGGGGTGGCGGGCTCCAGGTGGACCAGACTAAACCCTTCGCAGCCGCTATGCGTCCCTAGTGCTCCAACACAAACCGGGAGACCTCGGCTCCCAACCCGTGTTACGGAGCGCATCGCCAGGCTCCTGGAAAGGGGGCTCTGCAGCCTGGAACCCCCGATCTCCCCAGTGCGCCCACCGCTGCGTCCCGGCCTCCGCGGCTGCGACTGCAGCCCCAGGAGCTCAGCACCCTGGCCCCAGGCCTGCGGCCCCGGCCGGCCGTACCTGCGTGTCAGCGAGATAGTTGAGGAAGAAAGAGGAGAGCTCCTCATCCAGCAGAGAGCCGCAGTCGTTCCCCGCCATCTTCAGCCGCGGCTGCAGCGTGCGGCGGAGTCAGCGCCGAGCGGGCCCGGGGGGAGGGAGCGAGCCAGCGAGGGAGGAGGCGGGAGGAGGCGGCGAGGCCGGCGGGAGGCGGAGGGCGGAGCTCTGGCCCCCGGCTGCCGCAGGGCCGCTGGCTGCGGGGGCGGGGCTGCGCGAGCCAGTGGTCGCACCCCCACTTTCCTGCGCAGCGTCTAGCGCAGCGACCCGGCCCAGCAGCCCCCGGCAGAGAGGAAGGCGCCCACGGCCAGGTGGTAGTGCCCCAAACATCAGCCCGATGCCTGCGCAGCAATGCGGCCAGTCCCCCTCCCCTTTCCTCCCAGAGCGAATCACGGAATCACGTTGCGTTAGCGCTGGGCAGGCCCTGCCAAACAACCTGCTCCTGCATGGCTGGGGAAACTGAGGCTTGAGGTGGGAGACTGAGAACCTTGTCTGAAGCCTCAGTGAGCTTTCAATAGCAGAAAGAGAATGCTACGGCGGCTTGGGTTTCTCTACCCACGCTTAGAGGCCAGAAAGGGAGAACTAATACAGGCCAAAGGTGGAGAAATCGAGGAAGGCTCCTCAAAGGAAATGGCCTTTTACTTTTTCTTTCCCGTATGGCTGATTATGTGGCTGTCTCCCAGTGTCGCCCAAAAGCCTCCCTAAAAAAAAAAAAAAACTTCTACCACTTCTTAGACAGTCCACTTTTTGAATTAACCACCCCCCCCCAGGCCCACTGGCCTTCTCCGAGTTCTTGGGGTAACCCCTCCTCAAAGGCCTCTACACCAGCGACTTCCATGCGCTCTTTCTCCTTGTGTCTCCACTGTAGTGGGCTTCCTTGGCGCTGCACACATTTGCCTGAACAACTGCTCTAGTGCCCTTCTCCCTCCGTTTCAGTGAGGATTTGAGCCTACTAAACTCCAATGCTCGTGCAAGCAGGGCCTAATGTCCTTCGTTTTGTTGTTTGTTGGTGGTTTTTCAGTGCTGGGGATTGAACTCAGGGCCTTTGCACTGAGCTACAACCTCAGCTCCTTTAATCTTACTAAATTGCCCAGGCTGTGCTGATATTTACAATCCTCCTGCCTAGGCCTCCCGAATAGCAGGATTACAGGTGGATACCTCCACACCCAACTGCTACATCCGCTTTTGTATTTGCTGTACCACAAGTTCATAACAGATGTGTAATAAACAAGGTATTAACTGGAAAAGATGGAGGGCTTCTGTTATCACTACTACCACTACTCGCAGTGGGCACATGAGGAAAATGGTGGTCATGCATGCACTCAGTGTGTCTGAGTCAGAGCCAGAACCCAGGCCTCCAGACGGCAGCGCTCTCGTGACTGTGCCCTGCTGTTTGCCAAGCAGGAGATGAGGGCACCGCCTGAAGGAGAGCATGAAGGCGGGAAGATGTAGGCCTGTTTGATTGGGCATGCCTGTCTCCCGCCCTCCTCCCGCCCTGTACTCCTAGGGCTGCCTCACCCTGGTGGCTAGCAAGGCCTCCTTTCCAGCCACAGTAGGAAAAAGTGTCCCCAGCACACCTGCTCAGACTTGAACAGCAGAGCAAGAGCTTCCTTCTCCTGTCTGAGGTTCCCAGAACCGCAGGGTGTGATTTCACTCTTTGGGCTTAAGGCCAGCATGCTTTTAAGGAACAATGCATGCCAGCAGAGAGCTTCCATCTACCTCAGAGCACTAGACTGGCAGTCAGGAGCTTTGGGTTCTGGTCTAGTCCCTGCCACTTGTTGTTTCAGGATTGGCAACTCGGGAGGTTTGGAATTGGAGTCATGCCGTGTGGACTTGAATCCCAGCAAGTCATTTAGCCGCAGGCCTCAGTTTCCTCATCTATACAAATGGGGATCACAAAATTACTTCATGGGAATAATATGATGATGAAGAGATAATATATATAAAGTGCTTGGCACAGTGCTGACCTCACTGGGGAGATCAAGGCTGTCTGGTCCTTTCCTCATTTGTAAAAATGGGGATCAAATAAATTTCCCTTAAAGGCACTGGCACACTTACAGGCCGCTGGCTTACCTTGGATTCCAATACATTCTGATGTGGCTCCTTATATTAAATAGCAACAGACTATTATTTTACTTTGAAACAAAAGGGTCATTTACTTATCTTTTCTGAGCCTTGATTTCCTCATCGCTACCATGGAAGACTCAGTGGTGCGGCTCCACACAGGGACTGTATAAAGGTTGAATGAAACAGTACATGTAGAACAAATTGTTTCTCCCTCCATCTGGGAGTGATAGGATGATAAGCAGTGCCCCTCACCGCTGTCAGCATCACTACCAATACTGTTGCCACTAGCACCAAGCTCTTGAACTCTCCCTTATTGCATTGCTGCTACTACTGGACACCGGCACCAGAGTCCCATGGGATGCACTCCAGAGGTGTCCTGTCCAGCGTGGCTTGTCACTGGTATTGCACCCTTTGTAGCCCAGAGGCCAAGATTGGAGCCTCTGGTTGGCCAGCCATCTCTAGTCATGGCCTCCAAAAGCTATAAATTCCTTCTGTGCCTTGCCAGGGAAGACCTCAGCAGTACTTGCCCAGAGGCTTTTATTTTTGTTTGTTTTCTTTTTTTTTTTTTTTTAATATTTATTTATTTTGTTTGTGTGTGGCCAGCTCAGCCCACCAGGGGGCGGGGCTGGCTGGCATGTGGTGCTGGGGGATTGAACCGTGGTCCCTGTGCTTTGCTTGGTCTAAGTAAGTGCTTTAGACCCCTGAGCCATCTCACCAGCCCTGTTTGTTTTCTTTTGTTTTTAATACTCCAGAGTTGACAGAAAAGTTACAAATTGTTCAGCCTCTGGGACTTTCTCACTAATCTCTGTGTGCTCAGAACAGGCTTCTGGCTAACAAAAAACATAGGTGAGAAGGTGCCTCCTGGAGGGATCTAGCTTCCTTTGCAAAAGTGTCTTGTCTTGAGAGTTCCTACATTACAGGCCACCCACAGTCTCAGCCAAGTTACCTCTCTATTCCACTCAGGAATCTGGAATTCTCCACTGAGATTAAAAAATATATATAGTAATAAACTTCCAGAACCCGCAGGTGCTAGATGAGCTTGAGCTACGGTCTCCCCTCTCTGTTCTACTAGGGCTATGAAAGACAGAGGCTGCAGGAAGCTCTGCAGAATCCCCTGGCCCAGATGTGCTGGCATTTTATAGCTCTCCACCAAAACAGCACAGCTCTTCTCTACTGAGCATGTACCAGACACCTGAAGTTGTATCATCCCTAATCCTCCCAACATCCCTCAGTAGGGTGAATCATAATGTCCATTTTAAGAATGAGGAAACTAAGGCTTAAACGGAGTTAAAGTGATTAGCTCTAGACCAAGCAGCTAGAGACACAGCTGAGATCTGCACTCAGGTCTGGGGCCAGTGCAAGACAGACCCTTGACAAGAAGGAGAGCTGCTTCCCAGCAGCTAACCCCCCCCCCCCCGGAGAAATGGAACCGGGGCTCTTATCTTCTTTATGACTTCCCAGTGAAGGGCAATAATAGTGCCAAACTCAAACTTCATGTGGCTCCCCTTCTACCTTCTCTGCATTTTTATTGGCCTTGCTTCCCCTGAGAGTAGTGAAAGTGAATCCTGAGCCTACCCAGCCCTGAGCCCTGCACTATCCAGCTCAATGGTGATGCCTTCTGTAAGATGAACCTACAATTTTGGCTTGACTATTTTAGTCTCTACTGACAAATGCTCCAAAGTGAAGATATCAGCATTTCCTTCCTTCTGATAATAGGAGAATGCTTTACTCAGACACTAAATGCTTTATACAGATGCTGTGGTTCTCAACTCTGGAGACCATGACAGTTGCTGGGGCCATATCTCTAGATTTCAATTCTGAAGGTCTGGGGTGGATTGTGATTAACAGGTTCCTTGAAATGACTCTTCTGTAGGAGACTGCCCATCAGCCAGCAGACATTTAAGGAGCTCTCCTATGGTATATGCCACTGTGCTGGGTGCCATGAATAAATCAGTGAACACAACAGCCATTATCACTGTCCATATTCTAATTGACACAGATGCCTAGTAAGCTTCTGATGGGTGAAGGAGAAAAGACACAGGTCCTGACCATCACTGAGGTTTCCAGCCAGGAACTCAAAAGTCTGTCATTCTGTGACCCAGACCAGGGACCAGATACCTGTCTCCCAGCTTCTGTCCAGGAGTTGGGAACTCAGGCCAACAGGAACTAAAAGGGCATCTGCTTGCTACTGTTCATTCTGAAAGCCAGCTCTGCTTCCCGTTGGGTGACAGAACTTTAGGACTGCAGCAGGGTAGCAGAAAGCATGTCATCCATGGCCTTCACTGTGTAAGTAGAGGAACGTGGCCGAGCCTTGCAGGGCCAGGCCTGAGGCCAGGTCGCCAGGCTGCATGTGTAGTACTCAGATTGCTCTTGTAGGACAGATGTCTCCTTGGGGCTGATCCTTTGGAAGTTACCTCCATGACATCATCTGAGAGTCTCAGAGTTGGGATGGGGAGCATTGTGCTGGTATCTGAAAGCCTATCCATCATAAGCAAGACATTTCTTTGTGTTCAGCAAAACCCTCTTCTTCCTATAGGACCAATGAGTTCAGCAGCACATTTGGGGAAACATTTAGCAGGTCACTTTCTCTTTCATTTGCTAAAAATGGTTAAAGAGCTTCCCAATCAGCACTCAGCAGCCCTAGTGTCTGATCTTGCTGTTTCTCTATTCACTCTCCTCAGTCCAAGCAGTAACTTCACAAGGTGTGAATGTGAGGAAGTCGAAATTAGGTAGAGGAGAAATGTGTGTTTTTACCTGTTTTTAGGATGCACCAAAAAAATTCCTAGATATGGCTCCATTTGTTCCCACATTAAGAGCAGAAAATCAAGGCTGGGGAGATGGCTCAGTAGGATAAGTGCTTCCCTGGCAAGT